TCCTTTAAGTAGTTACCAACCATCTCAAGGGTCATTCCCTCCAGGTAGCTAACAAAGCTTTGGGCCCGCACACGAAACGAGGACTTCTTTCCGTCGAACATAAGAAGCGCCAAGTCCGAGGTAGACTTTGATGAAGCAGACGAGATCACCATACTTGAAATATCAGATAAGTCCAAGCAATACGTATCACGCTAACAAAAATCAATCGACACACACACAAGCAGAGTGGCTCAGTTCGGAGGTGGTAAATTGAGTTGTGAACCATTCATTACAATCCTTGTCACATCACAGCCAAGGCACGCAGATAACACTAGATTGTTGCCACAATCTGATTGGCTAAAACATACAACACACGTGCGTATCACATGCTCTACACCACACGTTAATTGGTCAATTCTCATGATGACCATCACCAGTATTCCATTATTCCGGATAACTAATTTTATTCGACACGAAGGCCACAAGCGACAAACACAGCCATATCTTCAAGGCGACATGACCACCAGACAACGCTTCCACAAGTCCCGCCATCACAAGTTCTCACCATCAAACGCCACAGTCACAAGACGGCGAAGCCACGTGAGCCGCTGTCCCAAGAAACCATTACCGCCATCACCACAAGACGGAACTACGACAATGCACGAGCATAACGCTAGGCCGGCACCACAAGACGCCACGATCAAAATCCAAGTGTAACGAGACGCCACTACCACAAGTCACCGCCACCTCATACAGCAACCGCCGCAATACACCCCCACCAGAAGCCGCCCTATGCTTCTTTGTAGATGATGTGCAATCACGACACTAGAACGTGTCATGATCGTTGGTGAAGAGCACATTCAAAACTCAGCAAATGCATACCACTCTAGTACATGAAAAGAGTCCCACTTGTTTCAGTGTGACGCCATTCGTCTATTTTTCTTAGTTTAATGGATCTGATTGGTGCATTTGAAAGCCATAGATCGTCTTTGATTGGCTAGTCGACGTTTCCCTGAATTCGTTTTGGTGCAGGAGATACAAGCTTGACAGTGTACGACGTCGAATTTTTTAGAGAAAATCACCCGCTGAGCGTTCAATATCAATCTGATGTATTCGAGGCCCTAAAGACTTGTCTAGCCTACACAGAGCAGCCACACGTGCTTGCGAGCACCAAAGACTTTACTGATACTTTATGTTTGGGCGGCCCGTAATACTTTTTTGTCAATTTTTGCCCGTTTTGGCTGAAATTTTGAAGGCGTGTTAATATGTGCAAGAAAAATTTAAAATCGAACAGCAAAGTAATTCCTACGCAATTCAATGCCGAAGAATGCCCATGCAAGCCAAAGTGTGAAGTATAAAATATACCATGTCAATTAAATTACTGACAAACGTTGTCATTCCATTTTATTTAAATGACCATGTAATCTTCTTTTAATATGTTGCTTGATTATAACCAATCAATTGTGAGGCCGTTGCTAACTTCAAACTGACCCATGACACTTCAATAACGACACTCAATGGCACAAGCAAGGTAGGCAACCATTCTGCAATACCACTACCACCACAGATCCTTCGTGGGCAAACCTAGGGCCAACATGGGTGCGGCGCATCGACAACTCATGTAGGTACACTACATCTATGGAGGCTCTGGGCTTGGTTGCCGACTTAGGAACAGCTCTCCGTCGGCAACCACGCCCAGAGCCGACATGGATGCGGTGCAGCTGCGACTCATACAGGTACACTACATCTATGGCGGCTCTAAGTTTGTTTATCGACGTAGTAGAATCAACGTCCCGTCGACTCCCACGCCCAGAGCCACCATGGATGTGGTGCAGCGGTGACTCATGCAGGTACACTACATCCATGGCGGCTATGAGTTTGTTTGTCAACGTAGTAGAATCAACGTTCCGTCGGTACTGACGCCCAGAGCCAGCATGGGGGCGGTACAGTGGCAACTCATGCAGGTACACTATATCTATGGTGACTCTGGGCTTGGTTGCCCACTTAGGAACAGCACTCCGTCGGCAACCACGCCCAGAGTCTACGTGGATGCAGTGTCCTGCATGATTCGTTGCTATACTGCATCTACTGTGGCACTAAGTTTGCTTGTCGACGTAGAATTATCGCGCTGTAGGCAACCACCCCCAGCCAACATCGATAGGGTGCAGCGACAAGTCGTACAGGTAATATAAACTGCATTCATGATGGCTCTCGGCTTGGTTGCCGACGGGGAGTTGCTCCTGGGTCGGCAACCAAGCCCAGAGCCTCGAAGATGCGGTACAGCGAAATATAGGAAACGTACGCCCAGCGCCATGAAGGATGCGATGCGGTACAATAGCGTACGACTAAGATGTGCAACTACGTAGGGTAGTATATTTATATTATGCACTAGTACTAACTAATTTACATTCATGTTTCTTTACACCATATCACTGTTTAAATTTCCTGAGTCAACACATATTTTAGCCGCGTCTAAGATCGAGTCTCGAGCTGCAATTGCATGTTCATGCATCCACTCGTTTTTGGCTAGGGGGGACTTTTCACGCAAACCACCGCGATTACCGCTGCCGGTTATGAAGAGAACACCGGTACGACTATCGAAACCCTGCACAACCGCTCCACTGGCATCGATGACCGCAAGAACATGGGTGGTAAGGCACTTGGTGATATCCTGACAAATTCGGCTTCCTGTAGGCGATCCACCGTCTGGGCCATGACATGGATCCATCAAGCGCAGGTACGTAGAGTCCAGTCGGATGGGAGTTGAAAAACAGAACTTGTAGGGACTATCAGCAGCCAGTTTTATGGTGAGTTGACGGTGCCGATGAAACGCATCGTCCACATCCTTGTTTAGGGACGAGTCCCAGGGCATCAATTCCGGGCTGTTCCCAACGGGCCTACCGGCATATCTCGTTCCACTGTTGAGAACCATCTCGGGTAACACCCATCGATGGAATATCCCAATGGTCTTCATCCATTGGATTGTAGATTGGCATGTCATTTGAGACAACGCGTCGTGCATGAAGACACACGACTCCTCGTACTTCGTCTGCGCATACATTCGGCTGACGCGTGGACAATGTGCTCGATCAGTTTCGTGACACACACGTGAATCTTCATGGAGGTACAATTCTCCATGTGCTTTTCCCAGTCGTCGCCGTAGAGTGATTTGTAGGGGTAGTCGGACTTCCGATGGTCATGCACAAGGTTGTCTGGTGTCGTTCCGCTAGAGCGCTGGGACAACCCATGGATTTGATCAATGCGTTTCTTGTTCATTCCACCGGAACATCCATAAACCAATGCCACGTCGCCGGGAGACAATCGTCGCATGTCCCCCACGGTAACGATTCCAAACGATGATAATTTGGCTGATGTTGTTTTACCAACATTTGGAAGGATCGACATCTCGTCTTCATCGTAGTATTCTACAATCATAGTGTATATAATTTATAACCGACATTAAAATAATAATAGGAATACCTTTAGATTGTAACGATCGTCGTACGACCCACGGAGCACCGGCACCCTTCAAGTTTTGAACGCGCGCTATTTCTTCTTTCTGTAGCACTCTATATTGGTCTAACGAGCGAATCCATTTTACAGAGTAAACGAAGGGGCTGCATATGCGTCCTTCTTGGCCGAGGTCGTTTCAACAATCGCGCAACCAAACGCAAAACGCGCTTGACCAGGGTATTTCATCTTAAGGTAGGTGCTCGCTGCCGCGTATTCGCCGTGGCTGTTCCATTCAGGTTGAGGTGGTGATCCGAGGACGTTGACGTACTGGACTACCCAAGCAACACGACGTTGTTCAACACTAACAAGCTGCTCTTTTTGTTGTTGTTTGACTTCTTGTTGTTGGTTGACAGCGAGGAGTATATCTTCGGCATCTGTTGGATTAGCTGATCCTTCAGCTGGATCGCTGGGTACGATGGGTGATGATTGAGGAAGGGAACCACTGATGGGATGGCATTGGGGTCGCTTCGCCCTCGCGTACTTGACGCTCTGCTTGCGACCAGTGCCCCGTCGTCGCATTGGCATTTCAAATACGACCAAGAAAGTTTAGAATCCCGCCAATACTTTTAAAGATCACCAACATAACGTAAATGACCAATTTATGATCACTTTTTCGAAGGCGTCATCGAAGAATTCACCATATCTCCGGTCTCAGGAACAATTTTCACATTCTGTAAAGTGATTGTTAACAACGAAACATGTTGCTTTAACCTCATCATCATATTATCGCCTTTAAGAATATTGTTCAGGTACAAAAGTCAGACTTTCCAAGCAAGTTTACACTGTTTTTGGAGACCAATTTATGATGCCATTTTTAAGCTTGAACTATGTATGGCAACTTGCTTACAAATTGTGCGGATAGGGTACGTATTGTTGACAGGTAAAATATCATTTTTCAAGGTTATGCGTTTCAAGAGGAGAAGTACTTGAACTCTCGCATTTCAAATAACGACAAGAAACCATGGCACTCGAAACAGATAGACAAGTGACACAGTGAACAAGGTATTTTAAGATGCAAGCATGTACTCCGGAGTACGACATTGACCATCAAAGCTGTGATTGGGATTTGTTTGGGATTTGAAACTCGAGCGTATAATTTACGAGAGGTTTGCCGCAAAAAAATATTGCGATGCGATTGGCTGATACGGAGAGATCATAAATTGGTACAGTGATCATAAATTGGTCATTTACGTTAATAATATTTATTACGTTGTACACCAGCTTTTTTTGAAATTGTATGTGATTTTTTATAATTGACTTTCGTAAATAATCATTATATCATTGTATGTCGCCTTCGCGGCAAAATAAGTCGCAAAAGCGCTCTGCACTATCTCCTCGGTCCATAGAACGAACCTAGCGCTGTAATATAGCTGATGTGGT